TATTAAGTTGTTTACACTTTGCACTAAATAAAGCATTAATGTATAGCAGAATATATGAGTAACAATGAAACGATTATAAACTTCAAATCTGCTTTGATATTAACGTTATTGTTCTGTACAGTACTAAAAACTATTTTTAAAATATTGAAATTTACTATCTGTTCGATTGTAACTCATATAAATATAAATATTTGAATGTTATTTACTTTGAACAATAGCATTTTATTTAATTACTATTATATACAATAAGAAATTAAATAATTGCTAATGAATTTAGTATTTAGTGACTTACGAGACGACAGTGATATATGACGACAAACAGGTACAAAATGATTAACACGAATACTTTGATTTTTAATTTTACACATGAGTTTCTGTAAAGAAATTATATAAATATATTAACATTTCTTTTGGTTATCGAGATTTATATATTATAGATTAAACAAAGATTGTATATAACTTAATTATGTAATTATAATTATACAGATGTAATTATAAAACTGTTTATAAAATTAAATTACTAAAATAAAACTAAAAAATTGAAACAGAGATAAGATATTATACATTATACTAATATTGAATTTGATATGGTAAGACACAATGCCAAATTCAAACACCAGTAGCTCAGATCATATATATAACTATTTTAATTAATGTAGGATTTTATAAATAACACGTTTCATCAAATATAGTCTACTATTATAGTCATTAGGAAAGACATTAAATATTACTAAACATTGTGTGTGTGTTTGAAAAAATAAAATTCAAAATAAATATAAAAACTTAATAAAAAACAAATAATACGGTTATTTGTTATAAATTATAGAGAATTCCACGAATTGCAATATATATATAATTATAAAATTATAGAATTATAAAAGTGTATTAATTTTACAGAATTATACAAAATAACAGTTAAAAGGCAATTGATTTACTGTATTTGGTTCATTAATATATAATAAAATATAAGATAAGAAAATCCTTTTCTTTTTAATTTCCTTATAAACAATTTGTAGATTGCATAATAAATGCATTTTTCTTATTATATTTTATTCAAGGGAAAGTATTTGCATTTAGTGTACATAAATATACAGTG